CATCATGTCTTCGCAACAGGACATTTCAGTTTCTTGCAGAAAACAATTACATTGAACAGAACATACAGAAAGGTTTCACTCCAAAACTCTCAGGAACACTAGAACACACAGCACAGTTGGCACATATCATTAATAAAGCGCGTGTAAAACATAGCCTGCGTGCAGCCTGACTTTAAATGGAGAGAAGTCAGTCTGCGAATCAGGGAACAATACCGTGTTCGCGCCATCTTTTGAATTGCATGGATTTCTGTATTCAAACGTGATTGGCTATTGCTCAGAAGCCTAATACACGCGCTACGATTGGCCATTCGTTAATAGATTCAGTTCAACAAAATAATATATTTAGCAAAATGGCGTCTTGGGAACCTCAATGAGAACTCTTTCAAATATTTTGTATGGGTTTGTGCACGTGCATAAATTATACACAACATTGCTCTTTGGGTCTTTGTCCGCCATTTTTTTTTTCATTCTGTAATGCTGTTTGAACCAAATATATATTAACGAATATTAATTGGCCAATCGTAGCGTGTGTGTTAGGCTTCTGAGCAATAGACAATCACGTTTGAATACAGAAATCCATGCAATTCAAACGATGGCGCGAACACGGTATTGTTCCCTGATTCGCAGACTGACTTCTCCCCATTTAAAGTCAGGCTGCACGCAGGCTAGGAAAACAACGATCACTTATCATAACACTATTAGATCTCAAAAATGCATTCGGCGAAGTCCACCATAACCTTATTTATGAAGTCCTTCAATATCACCACATTCCCGATCACATAAAGAATCTTGTCAGTAGCCTTTATACTGATTTCCAAACTTCCATAATAACTGAACAGTTCAATACTTCCTTCATTACAGTCGGTCGTGGCGTCCTTCAAGGCGATTGTCTCAGTCCTCTTTTATTCAACATGTCTTTCAATACCTTTATCCAACATATTAAATCGGAAAAATACCGTCAACTTGGATTTTGGAAATCTAGCGAAAACGGTACCCCATTAAATCCTCTTCATTGGTTCCAGTTTGCCGACGACGCGGCTGTTGTTAGCGGCCAAGAAAAAGAAAACCAAATGCTCCTCAATCGCTTTACAATCTGGTGTCAGTGGGCTCAAATGATAATACGTGTAGACAAATGTTCAACATTTGGCATTAGGAAACAAGTAACCAAATCCATTCAATATCTCCCAAAACTATTTATAAATAACTGTCTTGTACCACGTGTTGAATTTGGTAAATCGTTTCGCTACTTAGGTCGCTATTTTGATTTCAACATGTCCGACGAAGATCACAAATCTGAAGTATATGACACACTTACTAATATCCTGAATGAAATTGATGATCTACCATTACATCCGAAAAACAAAATTCTCTTATACAGTAGTTATGTGCTTGCCAAAATCTCTTGGCACTTCACTCTTTCTGACATAGGCAAAACCTGGGTTAACGATAAACTAGATAGTATCGCGTCCACGTATATCCGAAAATGGCTTGAACTTCCTATTTCTGCAACCCTTAGTAACGTCCTACTTCCCCACAATAAATTTGGATTAAATATCATTCTACCTTCAACCAAATTCCTTCAATGCCAAACTGTTTCTCGGAAAGCCCTAAAGTCGTCGCCAAATGAAGCAATCAATAACCTTTAAAAGGATACTAGCAATCACAAAAATATACAATATGACAAATACAAAAACACCAAGGACGTATTAAACACCATCAGGAAACAACATGAAGACAAGCTTCAACACCACCTCATTTCACAAGGCTCATTTTTCTCCAATATTATTAAACATTCTACACTCTCATTCAACTCTATATGGTCCTCCGTTCAGAGTAAACTTCCGAAGAATATATTTAACTTCACTATCCGGTATATAAATAACACTCTTCCGACTCGCAAAAACCTTCTGAAATGGGAAATATCGCCAACATCCGAATGTTCGTTTTGTTTGAATCCAGAATCACTTCTTCACGTCGTCGCTGGATGCAAGACCTACCTAAATGAAGGACGTTTCACGTGGCGTCATGATTCGGTGCTTAACTTCATAGCATCCATACTTAAATCTGTGAACCATTGTAACCTTTATGCTGACCTTCCTGGCTATATCAGTCCATCTGTTATCACCGGAGATGAATTGCGCCCTGATCTTTTGATAACACTTGAAAACAAATGTATTTATATACTTGAACTTACCGTCGGATTTGAATCTAATCTCCTCACTAATGCAACTCAAAAAAGACAAAAATATCAAGATCTAATTAACGAACAGCTCAAAAATTATGAAAAAGTGAAATTTGTAAATTTATCGATTAGCTCATTAGGAGTTTTCAGCCACCCGTCGCTAGATTTCACCGAAATGCTGAAAGATCTAAAGTTTGATAAACAACGTAGAAAGTACTATGTCCGGAAAATTATTAATATATGTATCAGGTCCTCGTATTATATATTCTGTAAGCGTAACAAAGAATGGGATAACCCACAACTAATGTCATACTAATATTGTTATTATGTAGAGTGTTAATTCAAGTAGACACTGGTAAACTACCTGTAAAGAGAGGTTTATCATTGTAGTGTATATATATATATATATATATATATATATATATATATATATATATATATATATATATATATATATATATATATATATATATATATATATATATATATATATATATATATAATATAGGTACCGTTCGGGCCTTATTTTTGAGGTGCTGGATGAGGTGGTGTTAGGTGGTGGAGTGTGAGGTGGTGGAGTTTGAGGTAGTGGATGTCCACCACCTCATTTATAATTAATAGAGAGGTTAAGATGCCCTGGTTCCGGTTTACGGATACGGGTGATATACACGTACCCGTAAATCGGGGAATAACGTGTAACTTAAGAAATCCAAGATACTCCGGCGTGAGAAAGCCGATTTGAGAATGGTAACTTTCGCTGTTAAGGTTCGCCATGAATTGTTGAAAACTTTAGACGAATCATGTGTGCATAAAACGAAAGACGATCATGTGTGCATTATTTATTTGGCTAAGATATTGAAAATTTTTACTATTTAAATGGCCCACAAATAGTAAACAGAAAACACCCGTACCCGTTTGTCGTTTACGTGTAGACCATGGTTTACCGCGGGGAAACGGGTAGAAATTACGGGTAAAAATGATGACATCAGCAGAAAATGGTAAACAAAATGGCGGTACTCGTACCCGTAAACTGGAATCGTGGTATCTTAACGTAACCTCTCTAATATTCATACAAATGAGGGCGAGGTAATTAATATTCATACAAATGAGCGTGCGTAGTGACGTCGCTCATTAGTATACAATACGTCATAATTATATGCAATGACGTCACGCGGGCATGTTCGGACGAAATCGGACAAAACTTGCTGACTAGGCATTTTTTAGCATCCCTCCACGTATGTGATACAATAGAGGGATTAAGATTGGCTTACTATGATTGGTTGTTTGATTTAACGAGCATCTGTATAAAATCGACAAGAGGTTTCTGATAGTTTGCATGTATAAAAGTATGAAATAGAAGTTAGTTTTTAAAATCTACCGTTAGCTCAGTTGGTAGAGCAAAGGGCTGTAGTTATTACCAAATCAGTATTCCTTAGGTCACCGTTTTGACCCCGGTACGGTAGAAAATTTTTTGCCTTATAACTATGTAGCACGTTGTGAGTCCCAATCCCTCTCTTATTTTCAACACGCAATCGAAATTCGTTTTAATTCTTTAATGAACTTGATGGCTCTTAGAGGAGCCGTTTTGAGCAATAAGTTCCAACCAGAAATAAAAATTCGCAACATATTTCAAAACCGAACTAAGCTGCTAATTTAACATGGTTGTCAACGTTATTTGCATGTTGTTCAACATTATTTGGCAAATCATAAGAAAGCTTATCAAGAATACTTGAAGGAAAAAAACTTTTAGAACAGTTGTAATATATTTTGCCATAAAAATATGTTTTTATCAAATATGCGGTCGTTATATACGTTGCTATGTGTTGCCAGTCATTAGCGACGCTTGGGTGCATGCAAATATTAACGTACAACATATTTGTACACTAATCAGGCGGGCGGGTTAGACAAATCGCGCGGGAGGACGGGAAAGAATGAACTTTGCAGGCAAAAGTTTGCACAAGATTTCAGTTTTAAAATTCATTTATTTCCTTAAGTACTACAATGTTAATAATTCTTGTCGGTATAAATATAATATTATCCACTTAAGAATTTTGTCCCGTTTTTGTTTCTAACTTTAACCACTCCTTTGAATCATCATCCATTTCTGTATTATCCACGTTCTTTGCAGATTTTGTTTTTGATTTTGTTCTCCTCCTGGAGGATTTTGGTTGACGGATGGGTATATTCTTTATCCCGCTTTTATTCCACTTTGACTGCTTTTTACTGTCCCCAATTAATCTGTACAACTCTGTTAAAACATTTTCTAAGTCTAAAGCTGTTGGCTTAGCACGAATAAGATAAGGTTGTCTTTCTTGGGACGAAAGTTCATGGACGTCTGCCAAATGGTTTGCCAATCTTTTTAAAGCTCGCTTGCCACAGATGGGACAATCTTTACAATTCCGAGACATACATGATAAATGTCAACTGATTCCTAACTTTAAATTTTTGTGGCCCCAAAGGCCTTTTTGAAGGTTTGCCGGGACTTGGGAGAGGGTAAGAGAAATGGGTTAGGGGAAAATAGCTACCACACAGGATCGTATTTTATTTTTATAAATCAAACACAAACAACCATTAAGAGTCAATGTCATTAGGATACCGCGTGTTTCTGAAAAGTCTTTTCAAAAGAAATTTTCTCTTGTCAATAGCGGCCTCTAACGCTTCCCTGTGGTCGAAATTATCATCGTTGACAAAGACATCCCTGGTTTCCATAATCTTTTTGTGTATTGGATCTCTCTTTAGTTGTCTTATCCATAGTAGACGTTCCAAATAAATATTCTGCAAATCTTTACGAAGTTTTGGTAGGATAAGTAAGTATGCCTTGTCTTTAGCTTCGTTTTCGTCAAAACCTTCTGCAGTGAAATTCTATATTAGTTCTTCGAATTCCGATAAACTTTGTTTGGCTGCTTCAGCTTTTAAAGGAGTCCATGGATCGCTTTCGTATTCATCACCTACTTCACTACTCAGTATCATCTACATTATCAGAATCACTTTCTGACGCAGAATCAGTTTCCACTTCGTTGTCAGTGCTATACGAATTCTCAACATCACTCTCTGATGTAGCACTATCAGAGTCTGCAGCCGTTCTCATTCTTTTAATCTTTACACTGAAAAGGCCCTTGGGGCCACTTTTTGCATTGGCCCCAAGGGCCTTTTTTATGGCCTTGTGGCCCGGTTCTCTAGAATCCTATTGGTGGGGAGGCTTGGTGGGAAGTGTCCCAGCCAATCACCAATCTGGACACAAGCTAAGGCCATAGAGAAGTCCCTTAAGGAGGCTGTCAAGTCCGTTCTGCTCATACGTTCTGCACAAGCTTACATTCCAATGGTCGGGACCCGATCGTTGGAATGTTATTAATATTTCGTATATTTTGAACTTTCTTGAATTGAATCTCTAGTCTGTATTCATTTACAAGCATAGCGAACCAGAAAGTGTTAAAAATTTAGTATAATATATATCTAATCATATTTTACAACTGTAGCACTGAGTTCAAAATGTAAACAAAGCGTTTGTTTACATTACGGACTTGACAGCCTATTTAAAGGCCGTTTTCCAGCAGGCGGAATTTTGCGCGCGGAGCGGAATTTTTCTTTGTCTTGTGATTTCTCGGGTGGAACTAATAGACCTTTCCCCTTATAAGTGAAATTTTGGTCTATATATGCCTGGACAAAAATTTCATCACAGCTTGAAAGAGCATCACACAATTAGTAATATTCCGAAGTTTCGTTGCGAAATGTTGTAAAATGCGGATAATATAGCCTTGCGAAGTTTGCCGTTTTTCAGTCATTTTGTATTACAAATGGAAATTGATAATCAATTTGATCATCAACCTCGCAAGCAAGGGCCTAATGACTGAAAAACGGCAAACTTCGCAAGGCTATATTATCCGCATTTTACAACATTTCGCAACGAAACTTCGGAATATTACTAATTTTGTGATGCTCTTTCAAGCTGTGCTGAAATTTTTGTCCAGACTTGTCTAGATCAAAATTTCACTCAAAAGGGGAAAGGTCTATTAGAAAAGACAAATGCTCATGTTTTATCTAGTACTTATAAACTGAGTAGCAACGAAATTAAACGTATTAATTTGTCATTTTATATAGTACGAAAAAACATGTTTGAGAAACGAAATTTCACGGAGCAGCGACGAGGGAGCATTCCAGTTGAAAACACAGATCAGCACTACGGCATGGGTTCTACAGTTTAATTTAATGAACATTAATATTATTTAATTTTAAATTCATAAATTTAATAATAAAGCAGAAAATAATCTAGTAAGCAGAAATGGGTCTCCAATATTATCTAAAACCAGCATAATTTGCAAAAGGTTCGACTGTAGACCAGGGGCGTAGGACTAAAAGTTTCAAAGGGCGTAGGACTAAAAGTTTCAAAGGGCGTAGGACTAAAAGTTTCAAAGGGCGTAGGACTAAAAGTTTCAAAGGACTAAAAGTGCCCTTTTTTGTGCTAATGTCGCTGTAAATACGAAGTTAACATGGTATGACGGGAAAATCCCCCCCCCCCCGACAATATCCAAGTGCCCCTGGAAGCGGTTGCCCCCCAATCTTTTGATGCTTCCTACGCCCCTGCCATATACCATTATTTAAAACATGCCATAAATGCATTTTAAACTAGTCTAGCTATATAGATTTATAAACGTATTAAGGCTAATTTAAAAAAATTCCCGGCTTGTCTTCAGAAATTTAAGAACTAAATGAGGCACGTATTTTTGAAGCACGTCCCCGTGCAAATAAAGACAACAGGAACGCGGTTGATTAATTATAATAAGAAACATTGCTATATGCAATGTCTGAAGTCTGTCCATACAACCAAATAACCATGCAGCCAACAATCATTTTCAAAAGTTGTTGGGATACTTGCAGTTTTGGGTCATCGGTGGATATGCAAATTATTACATACATTTTATTATATTTTCTTGAATCTCATTGGACGAGAGCGTATCATGCGAAAGTCAGGAATTTCGAAAATCAAAAATTAAAAAAACTTAAAACAGTTAATCAACGTATTGCACGTATATTTCGGATCCTTCCCTCAGTTCTTCTGACTCAGAGCGCAAAAAAATGTATGCAACATGATAAAAATGCGGGCCTTATTTATAATGCGGGCGCTGATGAGAAACCGGGAATTTTTTATTTCCCCTGCGCAAAATAGAATGCAGGGTAAAACACGACAAAACTGCACAATTGTAATTAAATCACGCTTAGTTTTATACATAGCTAAAACTACACATATAAATTTCACAACTACATCTAAATGTATATAAATTCATTGCCTGGCAATACTAGATTCGTGTAAATTACTCTGTCTCAGGATAATATTATAGTATATATTATAAACTATTTAGTATTTCAATGTATTGTTAAGAATTTGTTACCAAATGTTACATTTTTCCTTTGGATTCATCCGGGAACCAACGGGACATTTGAATGCTTTCGAGAATTCTGCGTAATTTGACAATGTACCGATAACTCTATAGAAAAGCAGTTGCATAGATCATAATGAATGGCGACCCTATTATCCTGACGGTTATAGATTCATGCAGGACCGGAGATATGGGGGGGAGGGTGTATGTGTGTGTGGGGGGGGGGTGACACCCCCCAGAAATTGTATTCAGTCGACAGGACTGCTATTCAGTCGGTAGGACTGCTATTTGGGTTAAATATTTTCGCGCAAAGGGCAAGATAGAGGTTGTTGGTCTCCGAAAAAAATTTTCTCGCCCGGGCTCTCGTCAACCTCTCGGCGGCCCTGTTCGTCAGTCGGTTGCAGGGCAGTAGAAAAAATAAGGTATATTTACAAAAATTTCGAATATTCTAGAAATTTTCGGAATTTTAGAAAAAAATTTTTGATAAATGGAGAAAATTTGTGATGTCCGGAAAATTTTTTGATGTTCCGAAAAATTTTGATATGTCCGGAAAAATTTTTGAACCCCTAAAATGGTACACTGACCGAAATTTTTTTGGCGACGGGGGGGGGGAGGGAGGTCGCCCAGAATAATTTGTTCCAAAAAAATTTTTTCCAGGTACCGGTCGGTTGAAATGACCTTACACCCCCCTGAAGAATTCCCTGAGGATGGCCCTGGATTCATGTGTGTCTGTTTATGAATGCTGAGCCCTCTCTAATTCATAAACACGGCAAGACATGAATCTATATCCATCCTGACCCCTCAGCCCATACTTAACCGCACACCCAAACTCATAAACGGCGTGACATTAATGTGTATCCATAACTGGGGGAATTTCAACCTCGCAAGCAAGACCCTGGATACAATTTCGAACCCTGACCCTGCAATCTTCTGTGGAGACATGCCGAGCCTCTGGTAAACACTAGCGAAAACGGGCTTTGATTGGCTGTTTGTTAATTGTTTGTATACCCATTTTTTTTACACTGATTCCGTGATATGAAGTTAATTATTTTTGTGTATTATGTTTAAACGTATCAATGAAACACACAGTATAACTTTAACGAATTATTGAGTTATTTCCTTCGCTTCTCATACGAAATCAAAAGATATTAATATGCCAATAACAAAACTGTACGTAGAATAACACCAGTGCAGATTAAAGTATAAGGTTATGATAAAACTATATTTTAGCCTGGTTTCCATATGATCGTAATGATCGTATAAAAACAGAGTCACGATCTTTCTCAGCGGCCAGTTCATAATAGGTTATACCTGTAAACCACATATAAATCATAAGTATTTTCTAGTTATAATCACTCCGCTTATTTTCAGTTCTAAAATGCTGTATTTCGGCTGATGAGAAAGATCGTGACTCAATCTTTACGACCATATGGAAACCAGACTTAAGTAGTTCCAACTAAATGTAGCCGTTCTTACTTGCTTGTAATATTTATTAATATCAAAATCGGCATTACTGTCAAGGCTTAGGCTAGCAACACAACAATCCATGATTTACCGTTATTAAACAAGTTAAATAAATCACTACCAGTATCTTACAACATTTCAAAACACAGGCAAGTGTTCCTTGAAAAGCTAAAGTCGTAAAAAGCTTAAACCGCATAAATTTATGTTTGACGGCAGCAATGTTTATTTATAAATCTCGAGCGAGGTACTGGATCCAAATGTACTGAATTTTGTGCAAAATTCGCTGGTGTTTCCCAGAGCTTTAGCAAGCCTCCACAGGGAATTGCAGGCTCAGGAGATTGTACCGCTAATCAAAGTTGGAACCACTGTTTGATAGCTCAAAAAATCATTGGATACCTCAAAAAAATAAAATCTACATGCATGCCTTATTTACACTATAGATATACCTCCATAAGTTCTGTCTAAAGTTCTAAACTGTCTCTTCCAGATTCCCAGTGTTATACTGTACAGATGGAAACCTGAACTATGCTGGGTCCACTAAAACGGGTCAAATTGAGGTCAAACTGTAGTCAGGTTGCGTTCTCAGTGAGGCCGAGATTTAGTTCAAATTGTGACAAAGAAACTTTGCACATGTTTTAGTTACGACATACCTGACCATCTTGGGAGGGTGTTTTCCACGCGCGAAAGCTTGACGTCTAGAATATCGCTGTTTTGAACACCAAATCTAGTTCGAAAAATTGTACAGAATTTCTGAATAGTTTCGAATATTTCGAACCCTTTACGAATAGCAATCAAAACTTGTTGACTGGATCATTCGAATCACCGACAGTCGTTTATTATATACCAAGTGTAAAAAAAAAACCCCAAGGGGTTGATAATTCTTCATATGTTGCAAAAACCGAATTCAATGATTGTTTTGTTATTTATTTTGAAGATAATAAACATATCCTGTGGGTTCAATTCGTCGAGAAAACGAGTTTCGTTTTCCCATTTACCGAAAATCTTTTCCATTATCTTTCATAAGTAAGTTAAGATCTTTGAAAAACCTTTTGTAGCTGTTTTGTGATACTTCTTGATTCTTCTTGATACAATGTGATACTTCTTGATACAATGTGATTATTGGTCAGCGAAAAAATTCGCAGCGAAAACATTGGATCAGTTCCTACTTTTTTTACTGTTCGCGCGAACAAATTCGCGTATATTGGAAAATGGGCTTAAATCTGGAAGCATGGCCGAAGGCGGCACCATATTGTTTTAGCCATGCTTCCACATAACGTATTCGTATTTCCACAGCAACACGTTGATTTTTTTCATATTCAACGCTATGGCGTCACTCCGTTGAATATTATGTAAAAAATCCGGATTTGTTCAGTTAGTAAGTTGATACTGGATTTCACAGTTGACTGTTAGCCAATCAGAAACCGAACAGAATGAATAATAATCACCGATAATCACTTTGCCTTCGGTGAATAGATGTTAAAAAATAGCATGCGAAAACCGAATTCAATAATTGTTTTACTATTTATTCAAAAGATGAAACTGCGGCAGTATGGTTGACTGATCTACAATTCCTCACTCCTTCACCAGTCGCCAATGGCATGACTTCACAGCGTTTAACATTATTTTTTCAAATCAACATTATGACGTCACCTTGAATATTATTCAAATCTCCATATTTGGTTAGCCATTTGAGTTGATATGACAATTTCACAGTTGGCTGTTAGCCATTCAGAAACCACGAATAGTAATGTCAGTTATACAGTATATATACCTGTGCGGAGCCAATGAAGAATAGTTGATTATTTGTTAAATTCAATGTAGGAATGGTGGGTTCATAATGTTGTTTACTATACGTCTGGTAAGCCTGGGGGAGAAAGAAAAAATAATTACAGGTAACAATCATTCGCGTTTCGGTGAATATCCTTGCACTATTCACCGACACTGAGGTGAATAATTGGCAATTCCAGCTTTTAGTTTATGCATGCAGGGGACGATGGGAAGTAAGGTATCACATTGCTGATTATGCTGAAAAAATAAAAATTGTGGCCGTGTGAACACGGAGTGATAGCTTATACTTGTAAATATTGAAATATTTCGGTTGTTTCGGCAGTTTTTATTGAAATTTTTCAGCACAATCAGATATGATACCTTACTTCCCATCATCCCCTGCAGGTATAAACTAAAAGCTGGAATTTCCTATTGTTTTAACACATACCATTACAAAACAAGAATAACCAAAAAACAACGAAAAATAGAAATGCAAAATGTAATGGTATAAATTGTCCTATTTGCAAAATAATCATTATATTCATTACATTATAATATATAGAATGTATCTAATGATTATATAATACATTATATTAATATTAACTTTGAAAATACGCGAGATTTGCATGCTTTCTTTGCTTGTTTTGTTTAAAATACAGTATATCAAGAATCAAGGGTGAAAAGAAATAAGGAAAAGTTGTAAAATAAGTTATTTTACCGTTTAGTGAGTTTTTAAAATAAATATAGTATATAACATAGCACAGGGGTATTAAACAAAAGTCCCTAATCTTTTTATAATAAAGTTTTGTCAATATTAATAAAAGATTTATGGGCGAAAATTAAGAAAAATTATGTATAGTATGTCATATGCAATACTGTCATTTCAACTCTTTTTCATCAATATCAGTCATACCTGAAACGCTTGTTTAATCCCCCCGTTGTCTGCAATGTTTTCATCCAATGACGCTTCACCATTTACCTAGAAATAACAACTAAGGTGCTTAGAGGATGAATAATATCAAATGGATATCATATAATTCATAGTCATAGACGATAACATAATTACATAATCAGAATTTCATCGAGTAAAGTACCTTCAAACCATAATATGAATATTTAGAATATTTCTTGGCTAGGCAAGCTGTTCTTTTCTGAAATTCCTTCAAAGACGAGTCCTTCCACCAATTGAAATAATTGCCATACTCATCAAATAACCGACCTACATGGCAACTAGGTATATTTAACAGTTATTCTACGAACTCGAGTCGAATATGAGCTGTAGCCGATGAGGCGCCTAGCGCCGAATCGGCTATCGCTCATATTCGACGAGAGTGAGTGGAATAACTGTTTTATTATATACACAAGGTCTGAATTCACAGACTTTGCTTTTCGAATATTTTCAATATTTTTCGTTTTCTCGTTTGCAAAACATCGTAAATTCAGTTTGGCCGCCATTTTGTTTTTCTCTACTAGCAGGATATGAGCTATTAGTATAAACCAGGATAAACCTACTAGTAGGCTATCACATTTCGTGCCTTCTGATTGGCTACGCTACTAGTAGGCTATTAGTGATAGCCTACTAATAGAAAATTCAAAATGGCGAAAAATTCGCGTTTTGCACTTTTGCCGAAGTGTCTGATGATTTTTTGGACGACTTGTTGAACAATTCTGTACTAAAAAATCCCGGAAAAAGCAACAAAAATATGGAATGGCAATTTTTAAGGGTAAGAAAATAGACAAAATAACATACACTCAATGAAATTTTAAAATTAAAACTGAATTTTTAAAACATTTTACGCGAACAAAAACTAAAATATTTGTTTACCTTTAATGGTTTTATAATGTTTTTTGTGTATTTTTGTATTGTGTTTGCAGCCTAGTTGTAAATTAATGTTAAAGTTTATACTAAAACAATTAGACAACTCGGCCTCGTTGTCTATGAGCAAATAGTCAACTCGGCTTCGCCTCGTTGACTATTCGCTCATAGACAACTCGGCCTCGTTGTCTAATTGTTAAATATCCTGCTAGTAGAGAACCAATCAGATTGCAGAATACCTCATATCCAGACCTTGTGTATATAATAATAAAAGGTATTGGCAACAACATTTAAGTATGTTTGGACTGTCGAATAAGTCATTTTGCAGAATTTTATATCTTTCTTTGGTTGAAAGATACTTCATTTTATTTGATATGCAAATAAGACGACGTCACAAGCGAGGTTAACTTTGTGACAGACTGACAGTCCACACACACGACTCTTAAATCTTCATGTTTTTGTGCGCAAGATTAGTCAACGGGAATCGTCGATACAGACTTGAATGATTTCATATACTTTGAACAATACGCTTTATGAATTTGGCATGACTGCCATTTTTGAAATTATTTCACCAGTTTGTGACCTCATACAAACAAACTAAAATATATCAAGAATGAAAAGAAATAAAGAAGAAACATGAAAAATATATGTGTAGCATGTATAAATGATAGCATACTAAAAACTTTTTTCAAAATCTCTTCCACTTACACGCGGGTAACTATAGCATAGCGTTTATAACATGTACTAGATAAAACATGAGCATGCAGACGATATTTAATCTGATTAAACATTCAGTTCTTTTGTATTTTCTCATGAATTATTAATAATTTTTTTAGGGATGTTTAAAACCCCAAAGATTAATTTGCCCCTCAATTCCCCACTCGCGCCAATATTTTCGCTCAAAAGTGCGGTCTGACTATGCGGCAAATGTTATCAGTTCATAAAGACAAAATCAAAAACTGTACGGGGGACGGGGGCTTTATTATATAATCTATACTAGAAAATACATCCATGCATGCAGAAAACCCTCGCCTTGCTGACTTTTAAAACCATTGTATTTTCCGAACATGAAGTCACAGATGATAGATAATACCAGATGAATCACTCAGCCAAAATTGTGTCCACGATTTTTTATGAACACGCGTTGGCCGCCATTTTGGCAGTAAGTGTAATCCACGCCATGAAACGTGAGCAATCGCGCATTTTGGCAGTAAGCGCCATTTTGGCAGTAAGTGTCGCACGCCTCATCTGGCGTGATACATTCGCGAAAATCACGGACACGAAAGTCATAGGGATAGATAAGATACACAGTGATTCATCTGGTATAATCTATCATCTGTGATGAAGTATTTAAAGTAGTTGTCATGGTAACACGATAATTTTGTTAAGAATATTTTTACAAATGAAAAATCCCCTAAAAATATCACTTTTAATTACAAAATTATCAATTCCCCAAACATATATATATATATATATATATATATATATATATATATATATATATATATATATATATATATATATATATATATATATATATATATATATATATATATATATATATGAATGTTTGCGTCGCTACTCTGAGTTTCACGCTTTACGCGATCATCAGGCAACTGACAGATATTATTCAATATTCATAATAAATATAGGTTATCATTTTACAACTTGATTAAGCAGGTATCTGGTTACATGTCTACATTTGGAAAACAAGTCAGAGCGTTTGTTCAGGCATTCAGTTTTCTTCGCTTTCATAATAAGTAGTTTCTCCTCGAGGCATAAATTACACCGTTTAGATCCTGGTTTGTATGCTTTGACTTTCTTCATAATGGACCACTTTATTGTATACTGACTTTTTTCTGACTTCAGTTTCCAGACGTACTTGGACAGTTTGGTGTTGCTCTTGTATTCCTCATGTCGGAAAGACTTAGAAGCGAAGAAAACTGAATGCCTGAACAAACGCTCTGACTTGTTTTCCAAATGTAGACATGTAACCAGATACCTGCTTAATCAAGTTGTAAAATGATAACCTATATTTATTATGAATATTGAATAATATCTGTCAGTTGCCTGATGATCGCGTAAAGCGTGAAACTCAGAGTAGCGACTAGCGACGCAAACATTCAAACCTTGACAGAATTAATTCCGCTCTACTTATTATGGTATTGAGCGCTCTTCTACCTTACGTCAACTCATCGACTATTTTTTTGAATATAGTCTTCAGTATATATATATATATATATATATATATATATATATATATATATATATATATATATATATATATATATATATATATATATATATATATATATATATATATATATATATATATATAGATATATATATATATATATATATATATGTTAGGTATGCATGTTATTATACGTTATTTAAGCTTGCCTTCAATTTAAGGTAAAATTCAACCGCAAACGCTTCGCAAGACGTTTTTTCATATTCTCGCATTCAAACAACTTTGCTTTCTTTTTTATTTAGAAATTTTAATATAATAAAAAAGGGTAATCAATAAAAATTGAAATTATATGCTGTCTTTTTCATTTAAAATATACACAACGATCAGATTTTAAAGCAATTATAAAGCGAACAATACATCAATATTTAAAACTACAAACCTACCTTCGTTAACGTTGGCGCCTTTACTCCCTTCTTTTAGTGATTCTTTCGCCTTTATTTTCTTAATTAAAAAGCTTTTGAAATTTACAAAATCTTGCAAAAAATTAATGAAATATATCATCAAATCAAGAAATGTTTGCTATTTCGCTGTCGTCATGCAGTCGTCATAATGCAAATTTTAAATTTGACCAATCAGCGTTCGCTATTCATGACAGTCCGCCATATTTTTGAGATGACCACCCACCCAACACGCACACTGACCCACGCCCGCGATCATTGATGAACTTCAGACTTCGCTAATGCTTTCGTTTCCCCAGGTGTAAATAGCCGGGCGGGATTAGTACCCTCGCCCACGGCTTACACCCGGAACGGTGACGAAAGTGTAAGTTTTAAATATTATGTACCTTTATTGTCAAAGCCGTGAGTCAATTCGTGGCCAATGATCATTCCAATCGCGCCATAGTTTAAAGACCTGTTAAAAAGAATGCGATCTTTTATTAAAGGTAGTAATTAAGACCCAACTCGTATTTCAGGCCATTCAACTGGACATGACGTGATTTTTATTGTCTCAGTTGAAAGAATCAGTTTTTACTGAATTTCGTTTGCGTGTTTCCTTGGCCTTTACTCTTTAGCTTTCTTCATATGCGGTGCAAACAAATTTAAAGGCCCATTTCCACTACACAACTTTTGCCTAAAACTGTCGCATACATGCAACCCGCTTACAACTTGAGTTCTACTTAATTATTTTTAAACCTCTTTCAAAACAGATCGACAAATAAAATTTTTACCATTCAATGTCCTTTAAACACAAAGCGCCCTATTTTGTTATTAAGATTTTACTAGTCGACAAGGGGAAATCGAGTTGGGTGGAATGGGTGATCTTTTTAAAGAGACAAACTTATATACATACTTACATAGGACGGGACATATTGAAGAAAGGTGGCTGTAAAATTCCGGCAGGAAAAACTACAAAATTAAAGAATTAAATTCAAACAAGCTTTATTTGTGTACTTGATAACTCTATTACTTCCAAACTATTATCCCTAAAGGTCCAGTAAGGTTCATCCTACACTATTCCAGTGTTACTATAGAAAGAAACGAAATGCCCGGAAAAAAATTGTTTTTAAAAATCTGTTATAAAACTCACAGGAAACCATGAGCAAAAGACAAAGGAAACCAACACTGGTCTTGATAGGAAGCAAGGGCGCCAATATTTAGAGATTTCGCCGCCCTCCCCGCCCCCCCCCAAAAAAAAAATATTGAATTTTTAAAATATGGGCTGATTGGTCAGTTAATAATAATAATCCATCCTGACTCACGGATAGCCTAGACTCACAAATTATAATGAAAGCCAGAATTAATGAAAAGGCCTAACGAGAGAGGTAGAAGTCTGTGAGAATGCCATTTCCGACGATCTAGAGACTCCAAATTTTCAACATTTTCCTTCAATTTTGTCTTGAGTTTCTCTTTAAAATGCAAGTCCGTTTGAGATTGATTCGAAAGCTGTTTATTACCAGCGTAAAAAACACTTCAAAGTATCTTATATGCGCCCATAATAAACTCTTTCCCGTTACCTATGTTCCAGTTATATTTTCATCCGCGTTTCTATGTTTCTCTGTGTACTCCTAACTTAAAAACTATCAAACGTATTGATACGAAAATCTGTGGAACTAACCGACATTGTCCAAGCAAGGACAAATGGATTAAATTTTGGCTAACTTTGTCTTTGGATAAGAAATTATCAAACGTTTGTCATGTTTTGCCGATCAGAGTCATTCTCGTCCCCAGAGCCATTTTCACTTGGTCACTCGTTGAAAATTAGGCTCTGGGTTAGACGACTAAAGGGAGAAATCTGATTGGCTTCTCAGAGAACTGCTATTTCGCAGAAGTTGAGCAGTTTTCGCTGGGCATAATTATTCTATCAACATATGTCAACGCAAATACTTCGTTTCTTCGTAATACTTTACTTTGAAAATTGTTACGGGTGCTAAAGTGTCCCAATTCAAGAGCATGCGCTTTAGAAACTACTGCAAGTTTTCTTGCACTTCCGGTTCCGTGTTTCCCAGGGCCTAGGGCAATCTCGTTCCCCGAGCCTGCGATCCTCGGGAAGGAACGCGAGGCTCTGGGATAATCCGTTTCAGGGAGGAATCTAATTGGCCGTTGAAATGGAATGCGTAGTTCAATCTTAGCCAGGATTCCTGGCTTCCGGCAACGGATTATCCCAGAGCCTCACGTTCCTTCCCGAGGATCGCAGGCTGGGGGAACGAGACTGGGCCTAGGGAGGACGCGCTCGGCCGAGAAAGCCTGGGGACGAGGATAGAAAAGAGTAGACTGGATGCGTAATTATCCTATTGTATAATTTACAGCATGAGCTCCACCTTTGAATTTACTACATGAGTAAATTCTTAAACACGTCCGAATTTATCATTATGATAAATGGACAACTTGCATGTTAGACTAAATTCTAATCTAAGCAGAGAAAAGGGAATCAAACACCACAGCTGAAACGAACATACTGAAAATAGTAAAAGTGCAAAATTTGGTTGCGAAATGTTGTAAAGCTTAGAAAATATAGCCTTGCAAAGTTTGCAAATTTTCAGTATATTTGTATTACGAGCGGAAATTGTTACCATTTTCGGCTCAAAAATGATAACAATTTCCGCACGTAATACAAATATACTGAAAACATGCAAATTTTGCAAGGCTATATTTTCTAAGCTTTACAACATTTCGCAACCAAATTTTGCAATTTTACTAATTTTAATAAGTTCTTAACGGGAATTTACTTTTTTTGTGCCTAGATGGGCTAGATAAAAAATTTGTCTAACATGCAAGTTGTCTATTCGCGGCACATTTTGAATTTATCATAGTAATAAATTCGCGGCACCTAACCTCTAACACTAACCCCAACCCTAACCCCTAACCCTAATCTAACTTTTTCAACTTTTTTGAAAATCTACCTTTTTAAACTTTTTTTGCTTTTTTAAAACTTTTTTAAAACTTTTCTAAACTTTTTTTTTTAAATGCTTCCTTACACAAGCGCTGTAATGCCCCAAACATTAGTTATACCAATACCGGGTGATCTCCGTGTTGACAAAAACGTTAAACGTCTCTTGCTTAAGCTTGCCATTATGTATTATTTCGAGATATACATTTCAGTCTAAATTTAAAAACAGTACTCTTACCTATTTTGTTTGCAGTCCTTTCATAATATGCATTAGTGGAAATTGGAACTAGCGACCAACTAAATTTAATAAGAAAATAATGAACAAGGATTATTGGTCGACCTGGTTGCGTAAATTTTGAAAACAGGTGCATGTAAAGCTAGACTCATCAAACACTTACACGCTTTTATCGACTGGTTTCTGAAGATTTTGCAAAGTCTTCTTCATCGAGAACTTTCGTTTTCTCATCCAGTTTCCAAAATGATCATTCTTTTTTATTTCAAGCTGTGAATTGTTTCAGGAGAAAAGAAACTTATTGTTTAGTTTTATATTTTAGGATGGTTACAGGTTCAGACCTTCTAAGTACCTGAAGTTAGCAGGGCCTGATACAAATCCCTGTCTGGTCGCATGTAAAAAGCCAAAATCCGGCTTTTCGCCTGAAAAAATTTAATCTGCCTTTTGACTGGTTAGTGATAATTAGATTGTACTGGGTTTTTTTATGATATAGTTGATATATTTCAGTAGTTTTAACTATAATTAGATTGTTGCTGTGATTGGGTAAAATTTACATTTTTCCTGGGACATTTTGATTGCATGGATACTAAATATAAACCGCTTTATACTCTGGGTATAGAGAGCGATCAGTTAAGGTTTTATGTGTCAGGGTGTTTTTATAAATCGCTATTAACTAGTATCTACTAATAATGAAACCTCACTCTCCAGGTTTTACGTACATATAAAGGTCAGGAATATTTGTTTTGCGCACTCCATGGTTATAAGAGGCCGGGTATATCTTACCTCCGCATACCTCTTGTTCAGCTTGTCGTGGTCCAAGAGAATTTTCGGAAATCCGATATTTTGCTTGATTCCTCTTGCCTATAGTAAACGAAAACAGAAATTTATATCTTGCAAATTAAACAGGCAATTCCAGCTTTTAGTTTATGCGTGCAGGGGACGATGGAAAGTAAGGTATCACATTGCTGATTATGCTGAAAAAATAGAAATGGTGGCCTTGTAAACACGGAGTGATAGCTTATACTTGTAAATGTTGAAATATTTCGGTTGTTTCGGTAGTTTTTATTGAAAATTTTCAGCATAATCAGCACTATTATACCTTACTTCCCATCATCCCCTGCAGGCATAAACTAAAAGCTGAAAAAATTGTCTAAAGGCCCGTTTACACGTCTACTGCAATTTCCAGTGCGATTTTTTTCTAATGATGGATGCATGTGAACAAGTAGATGAGTTATGAATTCAAAACAGTCATCTTCTCGAACACATTCATCAGAAGGCCACTGACTTGAGTCAGGCGGCGCCCAAAGGAGTTAATGATGACACTTTAACAATTATTGAATGAAGTTTAGTGTAAGTCTAATAAATGTATAAAAATTACGATCTAACAAGTGAGATGTCTAAAATCCGGACATTTATTATACATTGCATTTTCACCAAACACCATCGACAAACAATGATCTGTGGCACAAAACAACGTTTAGGGGCCGACCATTTAACTTTTTTTTTTTTGGGGGGGGGGAGGTAATTTACTGCTGGAAGGGAATTGTTTTTCTGGGATCGTTATGTGCAAGATTTTTTTTTCCTATCCAATCACCATGTACGATATTTTTTTGCCACACTCTCTTTCGCAGAATTTTTTTCAATAGCTTATAATTAGATTCTTTAATAATAGTTAACGTTGAGTTTTCTAGCTTCATGCATTTCTTTTAATAATACATATTGCTATGAGGTATAACATTTGGTTTAGGGAGCTCTTTTAAGGATGTGTTGGACGGGAGAAGTTCCAGTCGGCAAGTCTGTATCACTGCAGCTACCAGCATATATATGCATGCATGGTTTAACTAAGGGCCATTCCATTTAATGTCCACACCCCCCCCCTACAGATGAGTTTTTCTGAAGGGTGACTCAAAAATTCGTTTCTGAGGGGTTAAGCATGTCGGCATCCTTTGATCTCTGCGATTTTTCTGAGGGGTAAGAGGAAAATTTACAAATTTCTGAGGGGTGTTTTGTGTCGGCACTTTGATCTTTTTTTCTTAGGGGTTAAAATTTTACTGACCTCATCCGTAGGGGGGTGTGGATATTAAATGGAATGGCCCTAATAAGTATACGTCATAGGGCAGCAGATCAGGCCATAACTAGGATTCTGAGACAACCGAGTCGACCACCGAAGGTGCGAGCCTCTAGAGGGGTCTGGGGGCATGCCCCCTCAGAAAATTGTGGATTTCTTGAACCTCAGATAAGCTATTTCCAGCATTTTGAGGAGTTTTCCAACAAGAAATCAACCTTACAATAGTCCCTGAAAATCAAACCAGCTGATCTTCTGGGACTGGTCAAACCGATCCCTGCACCCATGCTGTTTTGCGACATTTTTTCCCCCACCAAATACTGGGGCAGGATATTTTTCCCCCCAGTTTGTTAGTGCAAGTATTTTTTTGTTCAGAATAGCCTTGCAGGAATTTTATTTCAAAATCACCCCCCCCCCCCCCAAAAGTTAAATGGTCGGCCCCTTAGTTCTCAAACAAGCAATGAAAACAAATTAAAATATCACAATAACAGGACAAAATATTACGAAATCCATTGCTTTTGCACCAAAAATTTAAAAAACATTGTTCGTTCATGTTGTTTTTTCTTATTTTTTAATGTACATGTCTATTTAAAGCAAGTCTTTGTACATTTTATCATAAGGATACTGTCTTTGTACCTTTTTCACTGCCGTTCGTTTAGTTTTTGGATCCATCCATGATACTGTTTCCATATTATTAATGTAAACATCCCGTATTCCTACGACCATCTCCTCGACCTAAAATGGATTTTTTTGAAAAACTTAAGACGCAAACCAAATTAATACAAAATTCTTCGTGTTGGTTGAAAGCTTGAAAATTTTTCTATCTTCGTGTTGTAATTGCATGCTTTTGAGAATTGGAGCGATGTAAGAAAAAACTTTTACATTACCAAAACCTTTCCAATAGCATCTTTCCAACACTGCAAAAATTGCTGAGTATTTTGACTCAATAATATATATAATGGATCCACATGAGTGACTCAAAATTTTGAGTAAAGATTTCATGAACATTTACTCAATTTTTTGAGCAAATTATTCAATTTAGTCAATCTTTTGAGTAATGATTTAACTTACAGAAAAAGTAACATACAATTACTTTATGGTTTCCGTGTTTAGATGGCTTGATCCAAACACGCGGGAATGTTGCGAGAGTTAAGAAAAGCGGGCGAAATGGCTTCATAATATGGATAATGGTTTATTGAACGGGGTTTTGTTTCTGGATTTTAAAAAGGCGTTTGACTCAGTCAATCATAACATACTACTTTCCAATTAAGAACTTTACGGTATCAGAGGAACTAGTGTAAAATGGTTTAAATCGTATTTTAGTAACAGGAAACAGATTTGCTCTATTAATGGTAAGCAATCAGATGTAAACGAACTCAAGTGTGGAGTTCCACAGGGAGCCAACCTTGGGCCGTTTTTGTTTCTCTTATATATTAACGACTTGCCCAGATGTCTCCAAACTACTAAGGCTAGATTATTTGAAGACGATACAACTCTTTCCATCAGTGCTCCAACCGTAAAAATTGAATCAAAACTTAACCATGATCTTCTGAATGTTAACGAATGGCTCATTGCAAATAAACTTACACTAAACGAAACGAAAACTGAATTTATGATATAGGTTCACGCCAGCGAGTCCCGTCATTTGAGCAGGGCCCCATAATTAAACTTGGTAATCAAGTTATTAAGCGGGTACCCAATAAAAAGACGCTTGGTGTAATTTTGAATGAACATCTAACTTGGAACAAGCATATCGACGAACAAAATAAAAAGTTTCAAACAATATTGCTTTATTAAGGAGAGCTAAATCGTTTGTGCCTGAACATATCCTTAATAAAATGTATAATGCATTTGTAATTCCGAATTTCTATGACTGTTCCACTGTTTGGAACGATGGCTACAAAAGTAAACTTACAAAGCTATCTAAACTTCAAAAGAAAGCGGCACGTGTGATAACCGGCGCTTCATACTATGTACGGTCCAATGAAATATTTCGAAAACTTGATTGGAATCCATAAAAGCTTATCTATTCGAGAAAATATTGTTACTTTTAAAGCACTTTATACTGCTAATTCTCCGAATTATCTCACAGAAATGTTTAATTTCTGTTCAAACGAAACGTACAACTTGAGAAGTAACTTTTGCCAACTTTCCCTTGAGAAACCTAACACAAATTTTCTCAAAAAAAGTTTCTCATATAGAGCGGCAAAATCTTGGAACAATCTCCCGGATAACATTAGACAAAACGTCGACAATATCACACTAAATGTTGCTAAATCTATGCTCATCAATCACTACAGAACCGATTAAGTCCCCTTGGGTTAATCAGTAATATCAGTAGTTTTTTACTATAATTAGAATAATTAGTTGTTTAATGTATTAGTATATATATTATAGCAGGGATTATTCTAAGGTGCAGTGATAAACAATTTGTGCAGTGATAAATGAGATTTGTGCAGTGATAAATTAGATTATTATACATTGTAGTTGGTAAAAGTAATTTGATTGGCTAAGAGCTTACAGTTAAATCGCGCAATCACGCAACCTACAGAAAATTCAGTTATCTGCTAGCAGATAACTGAGTTATCTGCAAATGAGCCTGCGATGATTAGCAAGCGGTATCTATTTAACACAAACAAAATAACAAATAACAAAACAATTATTGAATTCGGTTTTTGCGATATGCAAAATTATCAAGGTCTCTGTAAGCGTTATCAGCCGAGCCGAAGGCGAGGCTGATAACGCTTACCGAGACCTTGATAATTTTGCATATCGCAAAAACCGAATTCAATAATTGTTTTATTATACATTTGAAGAATAATAAACATACTATTTTAATACTATGTTTATTATTCTTCAAATGTATAATAAAACATTTATTGAATTCGGTTTTTGCGATATGCAAAATTATTAAGGTCTCGGTAAGCGTTATATTCAATATGATTTCTGGCAAAGCTGTTCAAGTAAAAAGTCCAACAGTTAAATTAATTACAAATATAGAAGAAACATATTATCGTTAAGATGTTAACGTATTAAAATATTTGCTTGTTAAAGTAAACATTACAATTATGAAATGTACATTCATTTGAAAATTGAAATGTACACTCATTTGAAATGTACACTCATTCAACCTCAATTCAGTTATCTGCTAGCAGATAACTGAGTTATCTGCTAGCGGATAACTGAATTTTGTGTAGGTTGCGTGACTGCGCGATTTAACTGTAAGCTCTTAGCCAATCAAATTGCTTTTACCAAGTACAATGTATAATAATTGTTAATTATGTGTAGTGATAAAATGCGATATTGTTCAGTACCAGAAATTGGCGACAAAATGACTACTGCTTGTATACTAATTTGCATATAATCCACATATGACACATGCAATGACTTTCAGTTTTTACTGGGAATGTACAGGGTGAAAATATTTAACTCTAAATTATTGCAATCTGAGAGCTCGGCTACTGTTTGCCGACCTCTTAATCAATAAAGCATTCATGCATTTAGTGTTTCAGTGGCATATTTATTCCGATCGGGTATCTCTCCTAGCAGCCAAGTCATGATCAAGAATACGTCATCTTCGCAAGGTTAAGCTGCTGCCGAGCGATTTTGTTTTGAGATTTTTGACACTGTTTTTTGACAACAGTTTATAGATTAATCTATGTCATGCATGCAGAGTGTGAAAGACTAGATCTTGAGCAATATTGCTTGGTGTTTTGCATGCAATTCAAACAATATGTGAAAATGTGTATATTTTTGCATGAAATAGAATATGCAGAATGCAGATTTGGGCTCCATTAGCGGTCATTTTGACTCATTTGCCTGCATATAATTAGTGACATGGACGGGGTAAACTTTAAAGTTGCAGAATCAGAGTACATATACTCATGCAGGGCAGTCAGAACGTTTTGTAAAATGTCGCTAAATATATATAAATTTTATTATTTTCGCGCTTTTGTGCAGTGATAAAATTTCCTTAGAATAATCCCTGTATTATAGTGTGAAGCTGACCAGTATGTAGGCTTCACTATATTGTATTATATAATTAGGTTAATATATGTTGTATAGTGTGCAGGGCCCATTGAAAATCAGCGTAGCATGCTGAATGGCTACACGAGCCGAAGGCGAGTGATTTTGCGCGCTTTTCTTAACTCGAGCAAAATTCTCAAGTGTTTTGGATCAGGCCATTCAAACACGGAAACCATAAGTAATTGTTTTATAAAATAACAACTTTCCGTGTTAAAATTTCACTTTAAAAACTTTCGACCAATCAGAGCACGCTTTATATACATGTTATTTTATAAGTATACTTGCGCCGCATCATTTCAGTAATTTTACCCAGTATTTTGAGTCACTACTGCATGCGAGTCTGTGGGTGCATTATTTGACTCAAGTTTTTGAACCAAAACTTTTTGATGTGAAACAGCTAGTATACTCACAATTTATCCATTTATTATATAGACATTTGCTGGGTGTAAGCTATTCTGCAATTTGATTAGCTTTCTATTCAGGATAATAATTACCACATAATAATTATTCTGCCAGTAGAAAAAAAATTAAGATGGCGGCTTTAAAAATTATCGAGACAACAGCAAGTTATATTTGCTTTTATAGCATTAAAAGGAATAAAAGCACAATAAAAATCCTCCCAGAAATTTTGTACGGGTTAGCAATTAGATCTTCAATATTTAAACTAGTTTAAAAATGTATTTTAAAAATAATAATGCTGAAAAAGAGTAACGGATAAAAACATGAACAGAATATTACAAGATTTGTGTGCAATCAACCAAGTATGATAATGATACAAACAGCGGCGTAGCCAAGTGGGGGGAAGGAGCTATGCTACTGTTGCATGGGAAAAATTAAAATTCGAGTATCGATAAAAAATGGATTTTTATCTCGTTATAAATGAACATTAGGGCCATTTATACGGGACAAAATAAGTCGCGACTTACATAAGACGCGACTTAAATAAGACGCGAGTTTGTCGTATAAAAGGTACAAAATTCTTATGTAAGTCGCGTCTTGGATAAGACGCGACTTAATTAAGAACAGGATTTTTAGCTGTTCTTATTTTTAAAAGTCGCGTCTTAAATAAGACATTTTGTATAAAAAGTCTAACTGCACATGCCCGAAACTTGAAACAACGTAAAATTATTAGCCTTGCATATAAAAACAAAAACAATCAAGACAACATTATAGCTATAGCAAGTAAATAAGACTAGAGCCGTAGAGAACCATTTATGCGATAAATCCGCTTATATAAGACGCGTCTTATGTCAGTCGCGACTTATTTTGTCCCGTATAAATGGCCCTAATATGTCTCAACTTACATGTCTCAATTTATCTTCGCCAAACTTTTCATCAACATATAACATACTCAATGGTAAGCCCAACAGGTTTAATGCAAATATTAAACACGTGTTCCCTCGATCTGGTTCCGTTTTCGCGCGAAACAGTAGTGAACGATAATTCTGGAACTTCTCGGAAACCACTCGAGGAAAATACTTGTACGTTTCGAAGCATATTACTTCCCACATCATATAGTTGGCTAGCAATCTGAAATTTTAAAATGTAATCAGCGTTAGAACACCTTTAACCCTTTTTAATTACAATAGTTTTCAAGGAGTATTTGAAATATGACAAAAGCAATTTCACCAATACGTGGTCGATTCTCATTGGCTAAGAGTGCCGAAAAGGAAATACAGTGCCAAAAAGGGAAATACAGTACCAAAAAAGGAAATACAGTACCAAAAAAGGAAATACATTGCCAAAGAAAGAAATACAGTATCAAAAAAGGAAATACAGTGTCAAAAAAGGGGAAATTAACAGTTCCAAAAAAGGAAATACAGTGCCAAAAAAGGAAATACAGTACCAAAAAAGGAAATACAGTACTGAAAAAGGAAATACATTGACAAAGAAAGAAATACAGTATCAAAAAAGGAAATACAGTTTCAAAAAAGGGACAACAGTTCCAAAAAAGGAAATACAGTGCCAAAAAAGGAATATACTTTTAGATGTTGGAGGAGAGCGAACTTAATGTATACATCAAATTGTCTTGTTATATAGCTAGTGTGAACACCAAATGTGATTGGCTGATTTGTAGTCACGTGGCTTTAGATAAATGCAATGTATCCCGCCCGGGCAACAAGTGAAAAATTGTTGCCCGCCCCGACCGGCTACGTACATAAATAAACAAAATGGCGGCACAAATTTATACTATTTAAACTACTGTTTTCGTGGCTTTGTGTTAAAATAAAGAATGTAAAAGAGAAGAAAAATACATAACAGGCAACAGGATATGCTGCTGAAACCATTTAAGTAGGTTTTTAAAATTTTAAACTCATTTACGCTATAGAGTTTTTGTCATGAAATACAAATATTGTTGTATGAATGTTGTTCAATGTCGATATTTGTTTCGTCGCTATATAACAAAACACTTAACGTCTTTTCCCTCGGGAAATAGTTAGTTTTGTTTTCCCTCGAATCTCAATGTTTCCCTCGACTTCGTCTCGGGAAACATTGAGATTCTCGGGAAAACAAAACTAACTATTTCCCTCGGGTGCAGACATTAAGTGTATATTGTACTTTGATAGTTCATACAACACTTTCCACATTCAGTGCCAAAAAGGAAATACATCCCCCCAAACAAATACAGTGCCAAACAAGGAAACACAGTTCCAAAGAAGAGTGACAAAAAAGAGACAACAGTGCTAAAGAAAGGAAATACAGAGCCAAAAAATGGAAAACAGTTCCAGAAAAAACGTACAGTGCCCGAAAATACAGTGTCAGAAAAGGAAATACACTATCAAAGAAAGTGCCAGAAAAGGATATGGAGTGTTAAAATAGGAAATACAGTGGAAAAAGAGGAAATACAGTGTCAAAAAAGGAAATACAGTGCCAAAGAAAGGGAAAACAGTTCCAAAAAAGGAAATACAGTATCGAAAAAGCTCTCAGTCCATAAAAAATACAGTGCAAAAAAATACAGTGCCTAAGAAAAAATATACTTTTTTAGATGTTGGAGGACAGCGAACTTAATGTGCAGCAAATTGTCTTGTACTTTGATAGTTCATACAACACTTTCCAGATTTGCACCCAAGGAATTCAATTTGCATTTTAAACTTTCTATTTATGGAAATCGACTTTTGAGTTCAGAAAAGCTGCTTTTAAAACTATATTAAAAGTATAGGTTGCACACAAAAATGAAAGGTTTAAAACATAATTCTTATCTAATTTATGAAATATCAAAGTACCAGACATGATGTGCATTAAGTCCACCGCTCAACCTCTAAAATTTGCACTTTCGTAGCGTATTAGCCCTTCACTAGACTTGCCACAAGTCGACCACATGGGGAGGGCGCGGGGGAGGGAGCGCGCGACCCGAGCGACGAAGTCGCTAGTGGAAGTGAAGCGCGCCATAGAAGGGCCTGGAAAGGACTTTGGAAAGTCTAGCCCTTCACGCATATTTTTTATCAACGCACAACTGATTTCATTCATGACTGATTTGTCACATGCTCTTCACAAAAGTTTAAAGAAAAATATGCACGAGAAGCTAATACGGGAAAAGTGTCCAAGTTTTAGAGATGCTAGCTCGAAGGACTTATTGTATACACATCAAATTGTCTTGTACTTTGATAGTTCATAAAGGACGGGCTTTCCAACCTTGCACCCTATGAATTCCAATTGTGTTTTAAACCTTTCATTTTTGTGCGCAAAGCCACTTTTAGTATGCTTTCTAAAAACAGCCTTCCTGAACTCAAAAGTAAAATTTTCGGTTTAGTTTCTGTGTTAGGGAAATCAGAACACCATAACATACCCATATTCACATACATTTGGGGGATTTTTTAGTTTAGCGACTGTTTTACAATTGCCTACTTCTTTTTGATACACTCTATCCAGGTGATCTTGTGTTCGTATTTTAGCCAATCAGCGCTCAGAAAGGGTTGTCCGAATAGAAATCCATTTTGATGTATTCAGTCAATTATATCTTTCGTTATTCTTTATGAAACTAGTTGAAATTTTGTAATTATGTTTGGTTATGAGAACTCTAGCTCTGACAAAAATATGGAATCGAAAGAAAGTATATTACAGGAGATATTCAGTTGTTTTAATCATAAAATGGATTTCTATTTGACAACTAGTGCCAGTACTTTTCCGCGTATCAAGATCATCTGGATATAAAGATACATAAATCCTGGTCTAATCAGGCTGGCCGTTATAAATGGAAAGCGTCCTATGATTAGTTTTTGTGTTTAAAAGACCATAAACTACACATTTTTAACAAACCCTGCCGTATTTTTAGTTTATCGCACATTTTTCAATTGCCTATTTTTTCATACATCGTGTATGTTAGTCGTGCTATTTACGTCAGTAGGAGAAGTAAAGTTAAAGATCCCTGATCTACCTATACGAACCTGGCGGATACCTACACGTCATCAGTTGTCCCCAATATTTGGGTCAAGTTCTTTATATAGTCAAGCTGATTGACGTTCACTCGCGTTTCCATGGTGATTGCCACACCAGTGTCACGAAACAGTCCTTGAAAGTAATCTAACCAATTGAACTACGAAAACAAAATGACATTGCATGAATTAAAACATGCCTGTAGATTAAAGTTTGCGTTCCAAGGTGGAAGAAAAAATGCTTCGTGTCACATTATATCATGCATAGCCTTTAATATAGCCTAAGTAAATACGTTCGATCGCTCAGTGAATGCCGTCAGTAAAAGGTCGACAATTGTGAATGTAATGCAGTATAGTTTGTGAATGTTAATTGTCCCCGGGGTTAAGAATTGTATGGTTTTCTTTATTTGCCGGGTGGTGGGGAATTGACAGTTTGGAAAGAAAAAAAACACATATCCCTGGCCTTGGCCGCGAGGGGATGGTGGCAACAAGAACTGAACCACGAATAAGTGTTAAGTAATCATATCAAGGCCATCAATATCATATCAAGCCCAACCAAAAATGCCTAGAAGAACTTGTCTTACCGTATTTCCTGTGGCGTTTTGCAGTTCCTCTATTGTAATTGGATTATAAAGTGCTTCTTTTTTTAGTGCTTGACTTGTTGGTATCGAAACCTAGGGTAACAGAAATCAAAATTAATGTTATGAAAAAGCTAAACTAAACTAAGTTCTTTGTATGTTTGCATGGCGATAAAATATAATAGTTTTGTTTGTGGAAACACCACGTAAATTTATTACTGCAATTTATTATTGATAGCTCTAACAGTCAATACTATACTCTCCTTATAGGTATAAGCTGGCGCGACTGACAGCTTTTAGGGCCACGGTCCCATATACGAGTGTGTAAAGATATAGTATTGTATGTAAATTTAGTTTATAAAATAACTTTTTTTTAAGAAATTGGGGCTAATAATAACATCACAAACGTCCGTCATAAATAAAAACTGGCGTTTGGAAACACAATACTGCTTCTATCACCAAGATCAGGTAATCTGCTAATATAGATAATCGTTCAGTCTAACTCTACAACAAAAATATTCTCCGTGGAATTATTGGAGCGACCTATGTTACACTGTCTCGTTCTTCGTTACAGCTCTCAGTTCTTTAGAACTCATGGGAAAAATTGAATAATTTATGAAGGTCCACAGTGGTAGCGTCGAAGGCACATTCCTATCCTTAGGCATATGCCACGATGCTTTTCGCAGTAGACCTGATCCTATGGGCCTAGGGTCGCCGAAATTATTTTTCCGGAAAAAATTTTTAGGTACTAGTCGGACACAATCCCGAAAAGTCGGGCAAATTTCTTTCCGCCCCCCTAATTTTTTCCTTCCGGTACGCCCATGTAAATTTGACCACAATATTGTCTTTTTCAAACATTAGGGGGTGTCCCCCCCCCGTGATTTACGCCACTTGTCTGCATTAGTGAGGATCTCAGCCTTGTCTAGCTTGCACACTGAAGGGACCAATCGTGTTCTAGGAATGCTCAGAAGCTAGATAAATTTTTTAGTGCTAAAGAATTTAATTTGAATCTGGCTTTGTTCCAGCAATTCCGACCCCCCGAAATTCCTGGGCCCCGACCGGCCTTCGATTGCCCAATCGATCAAGTCCGCCCAGTAAAATTCTTTCATTTTTAGAACCGTTTATCTCAATTGTTCTGAAATCAAAAAAAAGGTGATCCAAATTTGGCAAGTTATCATGCGTTTGGTCGGCTTTTACTATCACTGTGAAGGCCAACATAGGTCACTGGAGGGGCCAACTTAACAGAATACATGGAGAAAACCCACGGTGTTATGACTAGATAATGTAGAAGGCTAATTCTTACCTCAGCCAAGAGTTTCTCGAACTCAAATATCTCCTTAACTTGTCTTGCAACAACCGAGTCATTTGTGCTTGTGTTTGCTAAGGTTGTCATTGCTGTTAACATGAGGTCTTGGTAAGCTTTTCGCATCTGTATGAAAACAGCATACGCATGGGAAAAATTACCTTCATTCAATTACCTTCATTACCTCCTGACCACCTCCGCAGGTATTTCTAGGGAATCAGGCTACAACTTATAGAGATACTTGCAGTCGCAGAGACGGCTAATAAGCTAATTTGGAATTTCCATGAAAGAATAAGAATATGTCAAAGTAATCAAATGTTCAATTATTTGAATATGCAAAAAGTTGCTCCAAGAACAATTAGTTTCTGCACGGATGATTCGCTTTAAATTACAAAATATATTCCCGTAAGTGTACTTTTCGTAATTTCGCTTTACACAGGAGACAAAATATGCTAGCAGCTATTAAGGGAAGCCTCACATATCGATTTTGTTCAGGAGAAACGTCATATGTTCGTTTGGGGGTGGGGGGTTGCGGATGGAAACATTCGATAGTTTTTTCGAGAGCCTTAAAGGGGCCCTACAGTAATTTTTTAGGGGACTCCACGGAGATTCGTTTGGCTGTAACTGGCTGTATCTTACATGCAGTATCCGTGAGTATGAGTACTTCCGCACACCGGAAGACGCATGCATGCCGTGGTGCGCATGTCAAGTAGCGACAATAACAAAAAATGTAAACAATACTTAAGGTGGCTTTTCGACTAAAAACGACGGCCCCTTTAACATTTCGGAATCATCTTTGCAGAATATAAAAAAGAACACAACTTGATACAAACATCAGTCTATATATTCGTAATACCATACCTGTTCTATACATTTATAAAGAAAGAAAAAACAATGAAATACGCTACGTTTCGGTACGATACGATTAAAGTGGAAAACTGGCTTAAACCATAGTCGAACGACTACCATCGGATCCTGTGCGCCTGGGATAAGACTCCTTAAAGTAATTTAAATTCAACTGTCTCGAAGTCCAGTCAAATTCAATAGTAAAAAATTACCTTATGTGTACTATATTAAAAAACAAAATATCGATAACAATGTGTGACGTTTTTAAGGGGGGTGGGGGGTGGGTCTGCAGAGAAACGAACATATAACGTTTCTCGTCGACAAAATCGACATGTGAGGCTTCCCTAAGTTAAACATAAATAATGATTGAAGAGTTAAAAACTTTGTCTTTGATATGTACATTTTAATTCTTCCAGTCAACTGGAATTTATCCCGACGCAAAACGCGCCATTTCGATGCGCAGTGGAAACTATTTGGAAAGGGCTCCAATGTTGGCAGTGCTCCACACAGATCTGGAAAAATTGTTAAGGAAATATGATATAATGATTCCTTAAGATTCTCCCATAACGCATGCGCCTACTTTTTCCCATTCCTTATATATATATATATATATATATATATATATATATATATATATATATATATATATATATATATATATATATATATATATATATATATATAATATGATATATATAATAATAATAATATAATAATAATATATATAATATATAATAATATTATAATATATATATATATATATATATATATATATATATATATATATATATATATATATATATATATATATATATATATATATATATATATATATATATATATATATATATATATACAGCTCGTACTTGTTGTCAATGGTGAATAGTCAACTCAGGCTTCGCCTTCCTTATTTGCTCATAGACAACTCGGCCTTGTTGTCTATTCACGATCAGAAATTGCGGCCACAAGTTAACAGCTAAGATGAGCTAGAATGTACATGCCGACATAAGTGGCGTAGCCAGCCCGACGATTTGGTCCCGCTACGCAAATTTCAATTCAGTATCATTATCATTACCCATTTCTTTAGAAATTGATTGTGTTGATAGTTTATAAACATGGTAATATTTGCATAGCGGGACTGCTACAGCCTGGTTCACACGATGAAATAGGCATAAGCACAAGCAGCGGAACCTTTGATGTGAATAAACGTAAGCATAAGAAGAACGCAACATTTGTTCTTCTTATGTTTATGCACATCAAAGGTTCCGCTGCTTGTGCTTATGCTTATTTCATCGTGTGAACCAGGCTTACGAGCTGGCTACGCCACTGGTTGACGTGTATTGAACGTTAATGAAGAAAACTGCTAAAGTATTTCAAGATATAGTCGGCAAAGTTTTTTATTTACTGGTAGAATTTCGAGATTAAGAGAACGTTAAAGGCCCAAGAAAGATATTAGGATCGTTTTTAATTTAATAATTACCTTTTTAGAAAAAGCATCGTTTCCTAAGTACATCTCTCGCTTAAGCAAATAGGAAAATCTTTGTATCATCTAGGAAAAACATTTTATACCATCTAATAAGCTCTAACAAATGAACATTTCGGTTTACTAATTTAGCCCGGAATGAGGGACTCCGGAGAGGGGGGAGGATGGCGGTCTGTGTTTCCGTGTTTACTTGGAAATTTTTCTTTTGTTCCCTTGTTTCTCACAAATTAAAAATTTCACCGTGTTCCTTTGTTCCCACAGCTTTCATGTCCCTGGTTCCATATGACTTTTCACCTTTGTTCCTGTAATCCCATTGCAAAATACGTCTTGTTTCCTAGAGACCCCTGGGAACTCCTTTGGTGTATATTGAAGGGAAACTAGATGCAGGTGGTCATGGGTAAGACTGGCGTGTTTTCACGAATACCTCAAACGGCAAACCGATATTCCAGCGGTATTTTGGGTCAAATTACAAAGACGTAGGAAACGTTTCTGCTGAGCTGTTTTTTTTTGTAATGACTTCAATGTTTGTTTGTTTTATTTATTAATGTCGCAGAATGAATAATGGTCGATGTTGTCCTCCTCAGATTATGAATTCGGAAGATAACATTGACCAAGATCCGAATAATACTGGCGAGCTCTACATCTATGTATGGAGCAAGAACTTCAGTCATTCGGCCTATATGGAAAGTGAAGTGAAATTACAATTAAAAATTGATTACAATTAAAAAGACCCACCGCAATTTGATGTCTAGTCGAGTTCTTGATATCCTCAGCTACGGAGATAAAAAATAGCGGGAAAATCTTAAGATTTCGGTGAATTTTAACGAGATTTGGCAAAAGCTTCCAGGTTCCGCTGGACCATCCCGAGCCGCTTATATTCCATCCCCCATAATCCGAGATAAACTTGCGGGCTTGTTCAGCCTTTTCGCTTTCCTTTACGTTAACGTAATTCATACAGGCAGTGTAGTCGTTGAGCGCTTTCGAAACCGCTTCTATCTAAAAGAAGGAGGAATGGTATTTAAGTTTTGCTGTACAGCTGGTGCTGAAACTAAACGTGATCAGCTGATTTGCGGTCACGTCGATTTAGATAAATGCAATCTATCCCGCGCGAAAACAAATGAAAAGTCTTTTTTCTTGTGTTGGTGTAATGTACTCAGGTGAATATGATGCTTGCGATGTTACTCTGAGTGTATATCCATACCGGGCAAGCTTGAAAAATAATGGGCTAGTGTTCCAAAGGTCGTAGGTTCGATTTCCACCGTGGCCAGGCATATTTTTCAAGCCTGCCCGGAGTGGATATACACTCAGAGTAACATCGCAAGCAAAATAAAAAGTCGTTGCCCTCTCCGAATGGATACGTACATAAATGCTGAAAATAGACTGAAAAGTTTACGAAGAACTTTTTCCAGTTTACAAAAAGAGTACAGTAGACATCTTAAGATTGACTCTTACGGCAGACCGCATTCAAATCGACATTGGAGGTAAGTTCTACAAGTTTTCGACACCTAAGTATAGCTAAATTCATGCTTCAATTTTAATGCGCAAATTACTCTCCTTATTATTAGCATGACAAAATTACTCGATGCTGATTGGTTGAGAGCAATACAATTATTTCATTAATTGTACTGCAGTACAATTAATGATTTTCCCAAAACAAACAAAATGGCGGAAAGGTATTTTGAACACATTTGTGAAATGAAATTGCCCTTGAGGAACTAGATGAAAATACGAACAAAAGCACCAAATTGTGCTTTAACAAAAGAACTAAATGAAAATACGAACAAAAGTACCAAATCTTGGTTGAATGTCTGGCAGGACTGGGCTTTGGCGAGAGAATATGATCTTGACAGAGAAGTATCCAATTTTGTCATGCTAATTATAAACAAGTAATCATGCGATGTTGCTCGTACAATTAGGGATTAATAGTACTCGTGATGTTTGGAAATTTGCCAAATTGGACTCGCCCCGGCGGCTCGTCCAATTTTGGCAAAATTTCCAAACATCACTCGTACTATTAAACCCTAATTGTACTCGCCATCGCATGATTACCTATACTAACTTGGCCGGAACAGCTAGCACTAGCTTGACCTCAAAGTACGATTTGAAGTTTGCCGTTTGCGGTCAGCGGTTACATTACAGAGTTTTATTCATGAGATATAATTGTTTCGTGAATAGAATTCGCTATACTGTATATTAACAAAACACTTATGTATGTTCCCTCGAGAAATAGTTTGTTTTGTTTCCTAATCCCAATGTTCCACTCGACTTCGTTTCGGAAAACATTGAAACTCTCGGGAAAACAAAACTATTTTCCTAGGGATTAAGTGAAAAATATAAGTATAGAAAATAGAATTGGGGGAAATGATAGAGCTATCCTGATAGCTTAGCTTAAGTTTCCTCCTGTAGTAACTTGTTAATTATTCCAACTTACATTTTCGTATTTCTTTATGGTGTCCTTGTCTTGTAGTTTCTGTCTGAGAAATGCAAAATTATCTTCCGACACTAAGTCAAACTGATTGATCCAAAACTTACTAGGGGGAATGTCGTGTTCAGATAACCATTTATTGCATGAGAAATTGTAGAAGTCATTACATGGATCTACACTCCAATCGAGGCTGTCTAGGATTGCTGGAGAGAACGGAAAAAGTTTGAAAATCGTTAGATTTCTTCACACAATTTCTTGGAAGAGGTAAATGTACCACGATGGGTCAGTTGAAAAAGAATGTAAAGATGCTGGGAAAACTAAAAATAAATACGGGGGTCCGCAGGGGTAGCCTTCAACGAAAAGCCTCCAACGTATCATGCCATACCTTTCGACGTCGTCCGCTACCCTTGTTTATAATTCCACCATAGTCCCTGTTTTTGATTACTGTGGGGTAGTGTAGGACAGCTGTAGTACCTCGTCAGCAACACATTTGCAGAAACTGCAAAATAGGGCGGCGAGGCTTATTCTGGGAGCAAGTTCCGACACATCATCTAATGTGACCGTCAGCCAGCTTGGCTAGACGTCTCTCAGTTAATTAAAGAAGACAAAACCACAATGCAATCATAATGTATAAACATATGCATTGCGATATCGACGGAATCAATTTAGACCTGAGGAAACATTAGCAGAGGCTAGCCTCCTCCGCAGGCATCTCACTGAGGAATCGGGTGGTGAGAAAAATTTTTTTTTCAAAACCCATTCGCAGGCTAAAACCCATAGAGAGGCCTGCGAAGGAGGCTAAGCAGAGGCATAGTTACAACACTAGGAATAAGGAAGACGTTGTACTACCTAAACCTAGAACCAATCAATTAAAGAACCTTTGAGTACTCAGCAATTTCCGCTTGGAACGCTAAACCTCTAAATATCAAACCATCTCAGAACTTAATAACTTTTTAAAATAGGTAATTTCGAATTTTAATCGAAATAAATTTTAACATGTACCAATATATGGTAATTCGTGTAATATAACTTATATCATATAACTTGTATTCAATAATATTTTAGCTTAGATTTCAGGACCACTATGGAGAACAGTACAATTACTGATAATGTTATCCTGTTGAAATAAAGCTTATTAGATTGATACTTACACTTTGCTTGTGCACTTTGAACTTGGTTAGGCTTGACCTTGGCGCAGTTGTCTGTCTCGTTATTTCTATCTGTCTCATTATTTTTTTCTGTTGAACCTGAAAAGAATAAATTATCGTTAGAAGGCCCTAATAATGACTGTGCCAAATTAAATTTCCGTCTTATTTTGGTCTCATAGTCTCAGGGAACTGAGGTGCACGTTGGGGTGGGAATAATCATATTTCCTTGGTAAGGAACAGCGCGCTGACCACGTCTACATCATGTGTTTCCCCGCATATCTTTTTGTTTTGGCATGGTAAAATGGTTGACTGATTGACAAAAATTCATTTTTTATTTCCCTGTCCCAAAGCAGTCAAAAATGAACACTCCCCTTATCAACACCAATTGTACGAATTAGTTTATGAAATTTTTACCACTGTACATCCATAAGCATTAAACAATATGGGGGTTCTGCCAGTCCGAAGACTACTGCATGGTGTCCGCCAGGAAGATTTTATGGATGACGCCCTTTGTGTTTACTGAAAACACCATCATGTCTGGTCACTAAAAGTAAACCAAGGTGCATTCCATATAAAATCCGAGGAAAGACTTAAACACAGTTTGCTTTTGTGCTTTCTAACCTCAATAGGACATTTAGGTGAGTGACATAAATTAATTTTAAAGGTTTTAGTGAGTTCTACTAATAAAAACATTATCACAACAAATGTTCTCACAGCGTGTTTTTTTACTGTTTATCACTGCACGCTTTCACTTTACTACTAAACAAATTGGGTATGGTATGCCTTTACTGAATATAAAAATGTCGATTTTATACCAGGTTCATTTTCATTGTTCTTAGATGTTTCACTCGAAGCATAAAGGATTCCAAACACGATTGCTAGAACTATGAACACGGAGACGGCGATCAAAAGCACGCGTTCCAACACGGAAAATCGATGGTAGCTCACGCTGAGCGGTTTTACAGTGGCACGTTCCGCATCGTCGATATTCTCGGCTGACCTGTGATAACGAACTTCGCTCGGCATTGCTTGCAGTTAGTCTGGATCTGTTAAAAATAATATCAATGAAAATGATCTTCATTTTGCTGAAATCTTAAGCAACGGGGTGCAGTCAGTCAGTATATATATATATATATATATATATATATATATATATATATATATATATATATATATATATATATATATATATATATATATATATATATATATATATATATATATATATATATATATATATATATTTATATATATACAGGGTGTATCAAAAAAAGCGCAATCCTCGATTGAAACGTAAATTGCTAAACAAATAATAGACGAAAACGTTAAAGTTTACACTCATTTTAAAGCGTAGCCATTCAGCTTTCTAACAGTGGGTTGTTTCTTAAATTTGACTCATTGGTTCGCGGGTAATAATACTTTACGTTATTGCGATTGGAGATTAAAAAATTGAGATGGAATAACAAATCGTTCTCATGAAAATAACTGATTTTTTCATTAAAACAAAAAATGTTGCATTTTATTAAATGGATTGTAACAATAAGTATAATTACGGCTTTTCTTCCACTATTTTTAACTCAGTTTGAAACTTCAAATGCGATATAATTTTGGTTTGGACCATCTAAGCTGACTGACATCAACTTGCTATAATTTCTGTTTACATTACATCGCAATTCGATGACATTCTGGCTCAGACACCAGAATGTTTTGACGATTTTTAGCATTCGTTTAGGATTTTCAAACAACCTGGTCTCTTTTAAAATACTTTTAATTTGTTCTTACGTGGTTTTCCAGATGTAGTGACGACAACATTAAAGTTTAAAGAAGAAAACTCTAACATTTAAACCGACTAAACAATAACATAGTAAACTTGCATAATTAAACAGCAACTAAAAATGATAGGTTTTACTAAATCTTTTCCTGTGCAATTATTACTAGCATTGGAGACAAGGATAATAGTTTGTTTGAAAGAGAAAAGAACAGGCTTTGAAGTAAGCCTAAAAGCGTTTAACTAGAAATAGTATTTCGAAAGTTATTAAGCATAAAAGATGAATTGCGTTTATTTTGATACACCCTGTATATATATATATATGTTAGGATGCGGATGTGGGACACAAGAACAAGTTAGGATGCGGATGTGGGACACACAAAAAATATTATAGTCATATCATATCTCGAATACGCATGCGTACTACATGTCGTAGTTTTGAAGTAACGTAAAGAGCCATGAACGGACTATGACTTTAGTGTGTCCTGCTCACATTAGAAGCTGTGGACAGCTGTTTCGCCCTGTTGGGGCTCATCAGCACAGCGTAGCTAATGGAGGAGCTGCAAATCCAGATATTTATATAAGAACAAGTTAGGAAATATATATATATATATATATATATATATATATATATATATATATATATATATATATATATATATATATATATATATATATATATATATATATACACTGTAAATTTCAGGGAGTTAATTTAACTCCAGTGGTATTATTTTCAACCTAATTTTACTCCACATTTGGAGTTAATTGAGGTACAGTATAACTCCACCGGAGATAAATTAACTACACAAAATTAACAGTATATATATATATATATATATATATATATATATATATATATATATATATATATATATATATATATATATATATATATATATATATATATATATATATATATATATATATATATATATAATTCAATTTATTTTCGTTGTCTAGATATATAAAGGGCTCAATACTAAAAGTATAGCAGAGCTTATTAGATTGTCTATATCTTAAAATTAAATATCGCTACTCTGAGTTTCACGTCCTAAGAATACATTGGAATGACTTCCACGGAGTTCAAGGTTACATACAGAAATCACAAAAAGTCGTTTAACAAGCCTGCGTACTCGTCTGACACAGAACGTTCCAAATACGTATGGGATTTGAAGGACAAGAAAAGGGAATACAGGATTAAGTGGTCCATTTTGAAACGAGCAGCAGCGTATGTACCTGGCGGTAGGCGTTGTAATTTGTGCATAGAAGAGAAATTAGAAATCATGAAATCACATACTGTAAAACCAATCTGTTGAACAATGGATCCGAGTTCTTCGCGAAATGTCGCCATCGAGAAAAATTCAGCGCCGGGAAATTCGAACGCACGCGAACAAACAAGTTAACGCGTCAGCGAACGGTTGATGATGATGCAATCACGTAATCAGTAACAAAATCGTGAACAAAATCGCCTGATGATCGTCTAGAAAGGACGTGAAACTCAGAGTAGCGATATTTAATTTTAAGATATAGACAATATATATATATATATATATATATATATATATATATATATATATATATATATATATATGTAGTGATTTTTGAGTTGTTTTCAGACGAGTGTATACCAAACCGGGCAAGCAGAAAATTCTACTTGACCGCGGCTGGGATTCGAACCCGCGACCTTCGTATTTCTAGAACGATGCTCTACCATCTGAGTTACAAGTCGTTCTCAGCTTGACCTTGTAGCTCAGATGGTAGAGCATCGTTCTAGAAATACGAAGGTCGCGGGTTCGAATCCCAGCCGCTTTCAAGTAGAATTTTCTGTGTAATTGTACACTCCGTAATATGTTAAGGTGAAAATGTTCTAGAGTGTGTATTATATAATTTCCATGCCCAGCGCAAGCAGAAAGATGTTGTATGCCGCGGCTGGGTCTTGAACCCGCGACCTTCGAATTACTAGATCGACGCTCTACCAACTGAGCCACACGGTCAGACGGATTTAAGACTGGAAATTATGAAATATATACCGAATGTCATAAACATTCTCGTTTATATTAATTCAGCATCGAACAATACTAGTTCTGCAAGTGTTATGTTAAGTTGTGTAATTGTACACTCCGTAACATGTTAAGGTGAAAATGTTCTATAGTGTGTATTATATAATTTCCATACCCAGCGCAAGCAGAAAGATGTTGTGTGCCGCGGCTGCGGGTCTTGAACCCGCGATCTTAAAGATACATTGGCTACACATCAACTCTCTGTTCTCTAATATTGATATACTAGGAGTTACTATCGCAAGGAAAGTGCTGCCTTTTTTGCCACATGAACTGAATGCAAAACCACTCCAAAGGTTAAGGGGAGTTTACTTTTGACCCAATGAACTTATTCTTAAATTGCGTGCACGGAACATGAGTAAATAACCAACATGAAAAAGTTGCCATTGGGTCAAAAGTGGATAAACGGCATATAAATTAGCTGACAATGCACCCCACTTTAGTATTAACTCTGTCTAGCGCCAGACAAATTTACACTCTGTAACTCCAGACGATTTTACTTGTCAGTTGTAGAGTACTGTCAGTATCTGCCATTGGCTGGCAATGCGCCATACTTTAATAGTTACTGCCTATCCACTACCTGTAGGAAGCAATTTTGTATTGGGGGAGCTGATTAGTCAGGGGCGATTATTAGGTAATTATATCCCTCTCAAACTTCACAGATTATCGCTAGTTTACAAGTTATTTTTTTTTTGGGGGGGGGGCGGCGGGGCTGAAGACCTCAGACCCCCGGTTGCTACGGCCCTGCTATCAACGCCAGACAATTTTACTCGTTAGTGCCAGTAAACGACTTAATTTCTCGTCACCCCAATTTAAATTTTTACGATTTTTGTTGTTTCTAATTGCAGATTTTAACTTTAAAATATAGATTTTAATTCTGAAAATCAAGATTAAGATATTACAATTTATATTTAAAAAATCTAAATTTACGAAAACATTACTGAAATGTTTCATGTTTGATCAGTAATACCCCCCGCCCCAATCTTGATCCATCCCGTCACTGGGCCTGGACCGCATCAGACGTTGCTCATTCGTCGTCCTTTTCAAGACCCCAGCACGTCGCTGGAGTCAATATGAGTAAAATACTCCTTGTATTAAAGCGCTTTCGTGTAGGAAGTTTCGTTTGAATAAGGCGAGTAGAAATATTTATTTTGAATTTTTCAAAATATAGGGTTTTTACTCGCACGCGCGCGCCACGTGTATGCTTGCGTGTATGCGTATATAGCCCGATGCACGTGCAAACCATGCCACTGGGAGTACTTTGACCTGTAGTTTCCAAACCCCTAGGATGTAAACAGCTGTTTTGATGTAGGAACGTTTCACGGGCCGCGCTAAAAATATAAATATTCTGTAAATACCGAAATAAAAGATGAAAATCTGAAGACA